ATTGATTTCTAAAGATTAACCAAATAATGTGCATGCAGGGATAAACATTAAAATATGAGATAAATAATAATTTGTTGAATGCCAATTAAGGGTCCAGGTCATTAAATTGTTTCTGATTTTACACCTAACCTCTATGGTAGATATTATCAGATTTGCAGATGAGAAAACTGAAGTCGAGAAAGGTTAATTTGCTTACGGTTACAATCAGGAAGTATCTGAGAATTGAAACCAATCTGTTTAACATCAAGACCACACTTTTCCCACGTTTATCATCCATTACTTTGCAAATATATCTGATATGAAAATCAAGTAAGCTCTTGTTAAAACTAAAAATTCCTAGACTCTTCTCCTAAAGCTTCTGGTGGGGTCAAAAATTACCAAAAAATCTTACACAAAAGATACTAGAGTAAGGATACTTAAGAGCATTTGTTACTACATGTTATATTTAAAACTTAATGTTATTGAGAATGAAATGCTAACAACTTTATAGTAGTCAGACATAGCTAGGAAAGAGATTTAAAAGATTCCGGCCGGGCGCGGTGGTTCACGCCTGTAACCCTAGCACTCTGGGAGGCTGAGGTGGGTGCATCACTCAAGGTCAGGAGTTCGAAACCAGCCTGAGCAAGAGTGAGACCCCATTTCTACTTAAAAAAAAAAGTAAGAAATTCATTGGCCACCTAAAAATATATAGAAAAAATGAGCCAGGCATCGTGGTGCATGCCTGTAGTCCCAGCTACTCGGGAGGCTGAGGCAGGATGATCACTTGAGCCCAGGAGTTGGAGGTTGCTGTGAGCTAGGCTGATGCCACAGCACTCTAGCCCAAGCAACAGAGTGAGACTTTGTCTCAAAAAAAAAAAAAAAAAAAAACTTGCTTAATTGAAGGGATTCTGTAATTTGGATAAATCAAGTTTGGGTCTTACTGCTAACCATAGAATCCAGTAGCAATCTTGAGATACATTATTTCAAGACAGACAAATTTTTATTAACTCTACCATTTGAAAAGTCAATAAAAATTAAGGTGTTCTTATGATGTCTCCTAGGCAAAAATTATATTGTACCCCAAAGTAATTTCCAAGCTTTTTCAAGTTTCACATTTCTAACTCTTCAATTTTCTACAGCGTATCTCAGATAAAAAACAAGCAGAAAAAAAAAAAAAAACAAGCAGAGATTGGTGTCCCACAGCCACTGATAAAAACTTGTGTTAAAGGATGAGGAATTATTTGTGGAGATAGTAAAAAAAAATTACACCTCAGGAAACAGTACATGAAGAGACAGTAATTTAGAAAATTAGAAATTAGAAAAGAATAACATTAGAAACAAACCTCAGCAAAATAACTTGGCTCTATGACAGGACTTAAATTATAAGTCAAGATTATGCATACTATAGCAAAGCTCCAAGTTTGATTCTGATATAGGAGGGACATTAAGTAAGATGGGAACAAATAATGTCAGTTATAATGACAGATTAGGTAGGAAATACTGGCCTAAACCAACTCGCACAAATTTATTCTAAGGGAGAAAGAATGCCATAATTTAAAAATATTAACAAATCTGGCTGACACTACCTAATTAGTCACTTTTTTCCTCATCTTCATTATATGCGAAGTCACCACCAAAAAAAGGAAATCCACTTTTAACTGAATTGTAAGCTCAAGCCTTTTAAGTTACGTGTATATAAATATTATGCAATAATATAAATTTGTCACTTCCCTCCCTTCCTTCCAATACCACTTTCCTCAAAATATGCTTCTGTACAAGATTTCTCCATATTGCTACATGCAAATCTAACAATGAAAGAGAATATTAATACTTAGCCAGAAGAATGTCAAGAAAGAATACTGACCATGAGAAAAGTACAAAGTGTAAGTCTGATCTGAGGTTAATATAAAAATGTTTGTGTTAAAGACCACATTAATGCAGACTTGATTTAGGGAAATTAAGCATTTTGCATGCTATGTCTCCAAAATCTGACTATGCCACAAAATTAACCTAGAAAATATTGAGGTAACTTACTTTCTCACATCACAAGGATATGCCAATCATGGCACTTGAGAATGATTTTTTTCTCAAAAAAAGTAGGAGTAATACTGTAACGTATTAAGGTAGAAAAAAAAGAGCAGAAATCTTCAACTGCAAAGGCCTACTCAAAGGTTAAATCTGTGAAAAACCTATGGATAGATCTATAGACTGATAGACTATAGATAGTCTATATCAGATAGACTGATCTGGATTATAAATGATTCAGTTTATACTATCATTTACTGGCAAATTGTAAGGGAAGACTACTTTGATCAATTTCTTAGTCAAAAAAAAAAAAAGGAAGGGGGAAGTGATAAGTTTAGCCAGTCTTACTTACTACAATTGTTTTAATAGTTCTTCTCATTTAAAGGCAGGAAAAACTGAACACTTATAGTAACACATAAGTACTGAGTCCAAAAACCTTTACAGGTGTTAACTGGGCTATCCATGGGCATACTATGCCTAAGAATTTTGCATGACAGAGTCATGTAAAATAAAGTTTTGTATTACTGTGTCACCTATGTCACCTGTCATTACCTATGTCACCACAAAACAGGCCAAAGTGTTTAATACAGAAAGATCCTTATTCTCATCAAAATACTTCACATAGTAACTTAAACACATACAAGTTGTCTAGAAATGGAAAAATAAGACTGAAGTGCATCATTGTTAGGTTTGAAAATGGCAGTTTTGATTTCTTAGTACTATATTTTACACCTATGTTCCTTAAAGTGGAAAACTGTATCTGAGGAGAACAATTAATAAAGCCTAATATGTATTAAGCACACTGCCACAAACTGTGATGAATTCTTTGTATTTATTATCTCATTTAATCCTTAATAATCTCAAAAGGTAGGGATAATAACTATCCCCATCTGAACTGAAGGGGCATAGATAAATAATTTATCCAAGAAGTGGCTGAGATAGATAATCTCTCCTGGAAGGAAAGAGAAGTTGTGGAGGAAGATCATAGAAATATTAACTTCCAGCCCAGACATGAATACTATTTACTAGTGGCAGATAGTCCCTTTTTTATCTCCTGGAATAGAGTGGTTTTCAACCCTCGCTACATATTAGAATCACCTGCAGGTTTTGTTTTGTTGTTTTTTAAATCTATCTATGCCTGGATACTTGACCTTGGCTATCACTCAGTGCTTGACCTTCACTTAGGCCTCGAGTGGGCAGGGTCACGGGGTATTTTTTTTTTTAAAAAGCTCCCCAGGTGATTCTAATAGGCACCTATGATAGAAAACCACTAATAATTCTTTCCCACTCTAAGTAGCCAACTACAATCAAATTCACTGATCACCTATTTGGTTCTGTGCACTTTGCCTATTATATTTTCTGTTTACCCAACCAAATGCTTAGCTTTTCTTCTCTGTAAACCGAATAAACATTACAACTATAGCTGCACCTTTTTAAATAACAAAATGTTGCCAGCTTTTTTTTTGACATGAGGAAAGTAGTGGGAAAGGTAGATAGCACTGAAAAAGTTTGGAAATCCCTTCTCTAAGCACCCACATACTTCTTAGGCTTAAAACAATGGAAAGTCAAACTAAAAATTGAATGGTGGGTTATGAGACTAAAAAAGTTCTGTGATATGTGTTAAAAATTTAATATCTGATATTCAGTTATATTTCTTCATGAAACTAATGATGATAAAACATTTAGAAACTCTCATTGTGGTGATAAATTCCATTGTCTTGGCATGGTGCTGTGGTGGCAATGATGCAGTGTTTTTACCCTGTTTAAGTCACCTGAATATAAACTAACAGGTGCTAAAGAAATCAAAGTATTACATAAGCATACCCAAACAACAACACGTCTGGTCATATTATGTACTGAAAAATGAAAGGATTCTGCTGACAATCTTATAATAAGAAGTCTTACAGTTTCACTAAGTTATTCACAGCACAGCCCACTCACCCTATACCAAAACATAATGCAAATTGTTCCAGATACTCGGACTTGCTTTTATTTTACTGAAAAGTGCAAAGATATTCGACAAGTCTGGAAGTTTAATCTGTGACTTGAACAGCCGATCTAAACTGAAACAGTATCAAAACTCTGGACTTCTCAGAGAAACATTACAAAACTTCCTGCTTCCGGACAGCTCACAATTTGGTTCAAGTCTTCGCATTCCTTTATTAGTCATGACCTTTCAGAAAAGCTCTCGTTGCTTGTTGTTTGAATAATATTGGACCTTTAATGTTGCCAGCCAGACTTACTGGAACCCTTACCAAATCAAGAGGCCATCCTAGAGTCCATGCCCCAAGGAAGAACTTAGGTCTACAGCAACCTGAGCAGAGTTTGTGTCCCTCACGTTGATTTAAAAAAAAAAAAAAGTTGTACACATATCTTTTGCATATCTCAAATGAATGTCCATCTGCATGTTTTTTTTATCATAGACAATTACAGGAACTTGCATTAGTCCCACGGAAATTAACTCTGTTCAAAAAGTGAGAAGACCTGTGGGTCCGGGTGACACACACACACACACACACACACACACACACACGACAGTGAACCTCAGGATCGACTGTCACTGGGGTCTCACCGGGCCCAGATCTGGCCTCTGAGCCATATGTCACCAGGCTCAAAAGCACAGAGAACCACAAGGGTATAACCGGGCGACAAAACAAGAGGGGGGCCCCTCAGAAATGCACGCACTTCCACCCCGAAGCTGAAGGGGCGGTGGCCCGGAGAGCGGACCCAAAAGGGAAGCCTGCCCCGCGGGGACCCGTCCCCTCGCCCGGGCCTGCAGGGCCTGCCAAAAGGGGCGTGTGGAGGAGGAAGGGCAGGGTCTGCCCCCACCTCGGGGACCAAAACAAACGAAAATAACGCAAGTTCGCACTTCCTGGTCGCCCACTCTTCCCCGAGGCCCCCGACGCCAGGCAGCCGCCAGGGACCGCGGACCCCCGAGGAGCCAGCCCCGCGCCCCCGCGCCCCCGCGCCCGCGCCCGCCCTCGGCCGGGCCTTACACGGTGACGTGCCCGGAGCCGCGGACCACCACCGGGTCCGGCGAGTACTTGAGCAGCTGCTCCTCCAGGGCCCGCTCCTCGTCCTCCTCCTCCTCGTAGATCTCGTCGAAGTCCGCCATCCTGCGGCCCCGGCTCCCCGTGCGCACACGGGCCTGGCTGCGGGCCGGCGCGGGGCCGGGCCGGCGGGGCGGCGGGGCTGAGGGAGTCGCGGCGCCGCCGGCTCCGAGGCCGCCGAGTCCGCTCGCGGCTGCCTCCGCCCCGGCTACAGACGCGACGGGGTCCGGGGGGCCGCCGCCGCCGCCGCCATTACCACCAGCAGTAACAACAACACAATGTCAACATCCGCCCGGGGGCCGACACCTCCGCCAGCGCCGCCGCCGCCGCCCGCCGCCGCGGCAACTCCGGCAACCACAGCAACAGCCGGAGCCACCCGCAGCGGGAGCAGCCGGCCGCGGCCTCGCGAGACTTCCCAGGAGTGCGCGCGGGCGCGAGCGTGGGCGCGTGGGCGCGCGGGCTGGGGGAGCGAGCGAGCGAGCGAGCGGGCGGGCGGGCACGCGCACGTGCGGCCTCGCGCGCTCCCGGGCGGCCGTCGCCCCTCCGCTCCCCACCGGCCGGCGGCGCGCGCTCCCGCCCTCCAGCGCGCGCGACTCGGCTCGGCTCGGCGCGCTGAGGGGTCGTGACCCCGACGCCGAGAGCGGGACTCGGGGCGCCCAGCGGGGACGTCCGGTTAGTTCCCCAGAAGTCGTCTCTGACCGGAACAAGCCACTGAAAACAGAACCCCTGGTGGGGACGGAAAGTCGCCGGTGCGCGTGATGCCGGTCTATCGGACATGGGAATCTGGCCTCTCGCCGGCCTGACGCGTGAGGAGACGCGGGGCCGCGCGGCCTGGCTGCGGGGCGCCGTCTCGGTCACCACCGAGTCCCTCCGCCCCTGAGGACAGTCCTCCGTGTGACGCCAGCGGCCCGGGCTTTTTATTTTTATTTTTATTTTTATTTTTTTGCTTACAAGAAATCTCACTGTAGTCCTGCTATGGAAACAAAACTGATAAATTCTCTGGATTCCATATTGCCCACCAAACGGAGTCTCTTTTCTTCCCTTAAAACCTTAGGTGTCCCTTTTCCTTTCTTTTTGTTTTGAGACAGAGTCTCGCTTTGTCGCCCAGGCTAGAGTGAGTGCCGTGGCGTCAGCCTAGCTCACAGCAACCTCAAACTCCTGGGCTCAAGCGATCCTCCTGCCTCAGCCTCCCGAGTAGCTGGGACTACAGGCATGCACCACCATGCCCAGCTAATTTTTTCTATATATATTAGTTGGCCAATTAATTTGTTTCTATTTATAGTAGAGATGGGGTCTCGCTCTTGCTCAGGCTGGTCTCGAACTCCTGACCTCGAGCAGTCCGCCTGCCTCGGCCTCCCAGAGTGCTAGGATGACAGGCGTGAGCCACCGCACCCGGCCCCTTTTCCTTTCTTACTATGTTCCTCCCACAAAGAAAAGGAAGGAAGAAATAAAGGAAGGGAGGGAGGGAAGGAAATGGAAGGGAAGGAAGGGAAAAGGCTAATAAATTCTGCTTACCTACCTAGTAAAGGCCTAAAGGTCACTTGGGGTCACTTTGGGTTTCATAGTCAAAACGGTACCCAGGCCTACGAACGGTACAGGGACAGGGATGGGGTCCTGAGGCGAGTCCTGTAGGGGGAAGTGGGACAGTCCTGCTGGACCCAGGGCCAGCCAGACCGTCCTCCAAGTCCAGTGCTCACGTCCTCGCAGTTCACGTCAGCTGGGTCGTTGCTGGGGTGGAGAGAGTGCAAAGGAGGCCAGTGGGGACGGTGAGACATGCCAAACAAGGCCCCACCGGAATTAGTGGAGGGGAAGGAGCGTGGTTAACCAAGGAAAGATGAAGGAAAACACAGCAGATGTTTAAGATTTACTACACACTTCCCCAGAGGACCTTTACTCATTCAACAAATATTCACTGAGCCCCAACTATGAGGCAGGCACTGGGCACGTGTGTGTGTGCGCATGTGAGAGACAGAGGGACAGAGAGAGAGAGACACAGAGAGAGAGAGAGAGAGAGAATCAGGTACAGTCCCTGCCTCCCAATAGCATATCGATCATCATAGCAAGCGATTGTAACTCCCTGCCAGGTGCTCACATGGGGGTATACAGACGGTGCTAACAGGGCACACAGGAGGCGGTTTGGTCTGGTGGTCAACAGTGGGTTCTGGAACCTCACTGCCTGGCTTTGAATCTCGGCCCTGCCACCTGCTATGCAAATACCTTGGACAAGAGACTTCGCCTCTGTTCCTCGTGTGTACAAGGAGGATGATAATAGCACCTACCCCACTGGGCTGCTCAGCAGATTAAACAGCTCAGCGTCTTCAAAGTGCTTAGAATGGGCCCGGCACACAAAAATATGGGGTGATAGTAGGCGATCCATCCAGCTCATGACCTCTATCCATCCAGCTCATGACCTCTATGAGGATCGCTATAATTTTTTGCATTATGTAATGGTTTACGGTTTTTGAAGCACGTGCATAATATATTATTTAATGTTGACCCAAGAGCCTGTGAGTTAAGCAAGGAGGGTATATTTTATTCCCTTTTTTTTTTTGTTGAGACAGAGTCTCACTTTGTTGCCCAGGCTAGAGTGAGTGGCCATGGTGTCAGCCTAGCTCACAGCAACCTCAAAGTCCTGGGCTCAAGCCGATCCTCCTGCCTCAGCCTCCAAGTAGCTGGGACTACAGGCATGTGCCAACCATGCCGGGCTAATTTTTATATATATTTTTTAGTTGGCCAATAAATTCCTATTTTATAGTAGAGACGGGGTCTCGCTCTTGCTCAGGCTGGTTTCAACTCCTGACCTTGAGCGATTTGCCTGCCTCGGCCTCCAGAGTGCTAGGATTACAGGCGTGAGCCACTGCACCCCGCCATACTTTATTCCTTAGTTTCAGAGATGCTATGTAGCTTTCCCATGGCCACGTGACTACTGAATGCTTCTAACTCAGGGCACGGGGTGGCCAAAGCTCCTGGATTTCCTTCTCGGCAGGAACCAGGAGGCCAGTGGCTGCACTCGGCTCAGCTCAAGGACTCTCTGCAAACGGGAAGACAGGAAAGGGAACAAGAGAAAGGAAGGTCAGCATGTCCCGGGCTTGTCCCCACACCTGGCTGAGAATTCACTTTTATGCAGAAACGGTGGCCAAGACAAAGGGCCGGTGCACCAAAGTGTCTACGGTATCACTTAGCTGACAACTTCCCAAGGGCAGAGGAAGCCACGCACGGCTCCTCAAGTCTCCAGCACCTTCCACACAGTTCTGGCTTCAGAGAAGGAGCTCCATACATGTTATCCGAATTGAGATATTTTGTTACTAGCGCTATTTCCAGAACATCATGAGTTAATTAGGCTCCAGAACATCATGAGTTAATTAGGCTCCGGAGGACAGCGAGAACCTCACCCTTACCTTCACACTGGTTCTGTGGGAGCAATGTTCTTATTCTAACATCTGTTTAACAGAGACACCTTTGTAACTCCCACCGCCTGGGTGTCAGGTGGGGGCTGCTTTTTTTTTTTTCCTGTTCTGAAAAACCTGTCAGAGCCAGCCAAAGGGTGTGGGACCTGGGAACAAGGCCAAGAGGATGAGGGAAGATGAGTTAAATATTTCCCTTATGACAGTTGACATCATAATTCCAAACTCCACCCCGACCTTTCAGGGTCTAGTTTCTGTCAAACTCTTCCCAAAGCTCCTCCCTGGGGAGACCCACGCTTTTCAGATCTTCTTCCCTGGTGTTCAGGGGCTCCCCGACACCCTGCACAGCGCCTTGCACCCCTCCATAGACCCCGTTCCATCTGCGTCCCTTTACACTTTCATGCTCACTGGCAGACCAAATGGCCAAAACCAAACGGATCAAGCCTCAGGGCCTCAGGAGGTGGCAGGTCTTCTGTGCTTTTAACACAAATATTCCTAGAATCAAAAGCCTCCAAGTTTCGTCACTGCCTAGCTGAGTGCCTTAGGCAGGTTCAACTTCCTAAGCTTCCTTTCTTCATCCTAAAATGGAACCATTCTGGGAGGCCGAGGTGGGAGGATCGCTGGAGTCAGGAGTTCGAAACCAGCCTGAGCAAGAGTGAGACCACGTCTCTACTAAAATAGAAAGAAATTAGCTGGACAACTACAATATATATTATAATACATAGAAAATATCAGGTAGGGGTGCATGCCTGTAGTCCCAGCTACCTGGGACTAGGTGGGGTTATCAAGGATCATATGAGATAATGCATGTGCAATGGACAGATTCATGCTCCCCGTCCAACCCCTGCCAAATGCATATGAACCTCAATGTGATGGTATTTGGAGGGGGAGCCATTGGGAGGTGATTAGTCTGAGATGAGGTCAAGAGGCGTGCCGCCTCACGGCAGAATTAGTGCCCTTATGAGAAGAGCTACCACAAAGCGGTTCTCTTCTCTC